AATTTCTTGTCCAAGTCATCGTTAAATGTGCATTTGTGCTTCGGCGTGTTTCAGACTGACCGACTGTTTGTGTCTCGCTCTTTCTGAGTCACAGACGCTACGAGAGACGCTCAGTTTAATGTCCCAAAAGGTAATGAAAACCCGGACATTTCCATCACTTTATAAAAAACAAAACAAAAAACGGACGGCCAGGACAGGACATGGAAAACAGACATGTCCAGGGAAAAACTTAAGTTTGGTCACATTTTTAAAACAAGTCTGTGTTCAATATTGGCCTCACCACAACACCGACTACTAAACCCACAGACAGAGACACGGACACAGGAAAGTACTGCAGTAATACTACCATACACATACTCAGTGAGGTACTGCAGTAATACTACCATACACATACTCAGTGAGGTACTGCAGTAATACTACCATACACATACTCAGTGAGGTACTGCAGTAATACTACCATACACATACTCAGTGAGGTACTGCAGTAATACTACCATACACATACTCAATGAGGTACTGCAGTAATACTACCATACACATACTCAATGAGGTACTGCAGTAATACTACCATACTCATACTCAGTGAGGTACTGCAGTAATACTACCATACTCATACTCAGTGAGGTACTGCAGTAATACTACCATACTCATACTCAGTGAGGTACTGCAGTAATACTACCATACTCATACTCAGTGAGGTACTGCAGTAATACTACCATACTCATACTCAGTGAGGTACTGCAGTAATACTACCATACACATACTCAGTGAGGTACTGCAGTAATACTACCATACACATACTCAGTGAGGTACTGCAGTAATACTACCATACTCATACTCAGTGAGGTATTGCAGTGATACGAGTGACTGAAATAGTCTTTTAAACAACAAAAGCTCCAAACACAATGAAAACACTTCATAGTTAAAGTGCCACTGGGCTCAGACGTCTTGGATTCTGTCTCAGACGCTTTGTTCCGTCTCGTCCGAGTTCTTCTGAGTTGCACCGTCTGAGGAAAAGGAGCGTGTCATTTTATTTCATGCTTCATTTGTACGCTTTTCTCTTCCCAAATAATACTTCTGTAAACTGGTGCATCATAAACGTCTTATTTTATTTCATTTAGTAACATTTTCTAATATTTTATTAAATTGAGATCTAAAAAAGAAGTTGGGCGTCCTTCACCTGCTTGTTTCTATGGAGATGTCATTGCTCTGCCTGAAATGTTCCACAGTGTGACTTTAAACAGCTCTACTTTACATTTATTCAAATACAGGAGCTCAAAAATACCTAGAAAAACATGTCCAGTTTGGTCTCTGTGAAGATAGAACGGTTTAATGCCGCACTGCGAAACATTCCAGACAAATCACTAACATCTAAATGGACCCTCGACCAGAAAAGTGACACAGTGCAGCTTTAAATTAACTAAAAACTAATGAGATGAGGTTTTATTATTAAATTTGGGAGATCATAACAGTAAAACGGCGTACGAATATTTTTACGATTATTCAGGGGTTGTGGGTTCGACTCCGGATGCGTGTGCGTGGTCTCGTGCGTGGTCCCGCCCGCGTGACTGTGGCAGAGTGGTTAGCCCGGAGGTGTTTTGACCACGTGGTGTCGGAGCTGTCACTTTAACAGGACACGGGCTCCTCTCGCCAGCGCCGTAAAAACGCGCAAAGAGTCGACACTTTCACTCGGGGATTAAACCCGCGGTGAAACGCGCGTCACGTGAATCACGCAGAGCGGCGTTACGAAAGAACGAGCGCGTGTCCAGTTCCATAACACAGCGTCTTAATTGCAGCGCTGATGTGATTGGTCAAGCTGGAGAACGTTACCCGGAAGTGCGGAGCTACAATAACAATGCGCCTCGTTTTAACGCTAAAATATAATTCACCCGTAAATTCATCGCAAATTTTCACTTTTCAGACTGAAACGATAACTAAAAATCTTTAAAATAAAACATTTGTATTATTTTATATTTTGTACCGGTTAATCTCTTGAGTCTCTGTTCAGGGAGACCGGAATTTCAAAATAAAAGACATTCCAGTTTTTTTGTCGTTTGTTAATCATAATTAAGTCAGTTTAGTTGCATTTTCTTTATGTTTTGGTCATTTTTAATCTTATTTTCTGTATTTTAGCTTAAACAAATGACAATTTATGCTTCTTTTTAAAGTTTGCAGGGATCAGATTTGTCAAAAATAGCGACACTTGGGACATTGTTTGTATAAAATTGGGACAAATCACTGGTTTTGTATAAATCTGCTGGAACAGGGGACTCAACATTCTATTCTAAATTTATGACAAACTTTCACTGTCCAAACTGTAACTATAACTAAAAATCTTTCAAATAAAAAAATGTGTATTATTTTATATTTTGTACCGATGAGTCTCTTGAGTCTCTGTTTAGGGAGACCGGAATTTTAAAATAAAAGACATCCCTTTTTTTTTTTTTTGGTGCTTGTTAATAATAAAATTGTGAAACGAATGTGTAATTAAATCAGTATAGCCACATTTTTTGTGTGTGTTTTGGGTGTTTTTAAGCTTATTTTCTGTATTTTACATACATAAATGTTAGTTTATGTCTCTCTTTACTGTCGGCAGGGATCAAATTAGTCAAAAATAGAGAATTTTTTTTGTATAAAACTGGGATACATCAGTGATTTTGTATAAATCTGCTGGGACAAGGGACACAGGACTCAACACTGGGAGTGTCCCGGGTGAACATGGACATCTGGTCACTCTATTCTAAATTCATCACAAACTTTCACTGTCCAGACTAAAGTGATAACATTAAAAATCTTTTTTAAAAACCCCATTTGTATTATTTTATATTTAGGTTTACTGTCTAAATCAGACTGGGAGAAACTTATCCATGCGTTTGTCTCCAGTAGGTTAGATACTGTAATGTTCTGTTCACTGGTCTCTCCAAATGAGCTGTGAGACACTGCAAAACATCCAGAACATCCAGAACATCTAGAACATCCAGTACATCCAGAACATCCAGTACATCCAGAACATCCAGAACATCTAGAACATCCACAACATCCAGAACATCCAGAACATCTAGAGCATCTCGAGCATCCAGAACATCCAGAACATCTAGAGCATCTCGAGCATCCAGAACATCCAGAACATCTCAAGCATCCAGTACATCTAGAACATCCACAACATCTAGAGCATCCAGAGCATCCAGAACATCCAGAACATCCAGTACATCTAGGACATCCAGAACATCCAGAGCATCTAGAACATCTAGAACATCCACAACATCTAGAGCATCCAGAGCATTAAGAACATCCAGTACAGCTAGGACATCCAGAACGACCAGAACATCCAGAACAACCAGAACATCCACAACATCTAGAGCATCTCGAGCATCCAGAACATCCAGTACATGTAGAACATCCAGAACATCTCAAGCATCCAGAACATCTAGAACATCCACAACATCCAGTACATCCAGAACATCCAGTTCTCTGACTCTGTGTACAAATTGTGCGATTGCGTTAGTCTCTTGAGTTTCTGTTGACTCTAAAACTACTTCAACTTCTACTTTAAAACTTTTCTATCAGAGCACTTTTTTGTACAAACTTAAACTCAACTGCAACAAAAAAACACACTTCGGAACATTATTTCTGGAGACAGTTTTAAAACAAGCTGTGGAAGGAACAATATTTCCATGGAAACAAGCAGCAGGAGGAGTAGAGGGACCAGATTTTATAAAATAAAAAACTGGGACTCTCGGTTTGTGGAGGCTGGTCATAATAAAAATGTGAAACGAGTCGTAATTAAGGAAAATTATTGTGCGGAGTCGATTCATGACGAACATGAGTCAGTACAGTCACGTTTTCTTTGTGTTTTGGTCATTTTTTCAAGCAGATTTTTGGTATTTTACCAAAACAAATGACAATTTATGCTTTTCTTTATTGTTTGAAGGGATCAGATTGGTCAAAAATAGGGACATCTGGGACATTTTTTGTATAAAATTGGGACAAATCACTGGTGGTTTGGGGGACACAGGCTTAAATCTGGGACTGTCCCGGGGAAACAGGGACGTTCAGGAGGCTAAATCAGAGTCAGGTTTGTGGAGAGGCAAGCTCGCTCAAGATAAGGACACGTGTTTTTCAGTGTGTTTATATAATTATGTTTTATTTCACACGTTTCTCTTGCTTTTTTTTGCAACTTATTTAGAATTTATTATTACCATTTATATTTTTTACTCTTTGTTAAATTATTATATTGAATCTGTGTGTTATTCATTCATTCGTTTTTCAAAATAAAACCAAAAATAAGAAAAAAAAAAAAAAAAAAAAAATCATTATTTGTCTCCAAAACCAAACTGAAAAAACAGATAATGATTCGGGTTTTTTTTTTTCAGTTTTTGATTTTGTGTTTAAATGAAAAATGGACTGGTCTCAGTCCTGGTCTCAGTCCCGGTCTGGTCCCAGTCTGGTTCCGGTCTCAGTCCCGGTCTCAATCTCAATCTGGTCCCGGTCTCAGTTCTGGTCTGGTCTCGGTCTCAGTCTCGATCTGGTCCTGGTCTCAGTCCCGGTCTGGTCCTGGTCTCAGTCTCGATCTGGTTCCAGTCTCAGTCCTGGTCTGGTCCCAGTCTCAGTCTTGGTCTGGTCCTGGTCTAAGTCCTGGTCTCAGTCCCGGTTGGTTCCGGTCTGGCCCCGGACCTGGTTTAGTCGATATGTGGCGCAACAGTCCAGCATCGCTGTTTAAGTCACCACATTTTTTTCCATTTTTCATTTAAACACAAAAACAAAATGAAAAATCGAATCATTATCAGTTTTTTCATTTTGGTTTTGGAGACAAATAATGAAAAAAATCGTCGTTTTTCATTTTCTTATTTTTTATTTTATTTTGAAAAACGAATAAACAAACGACACACAGATTATATTTTGATATGTGACTCCTGTGTTCAAATAATTCCCCTCGTGGATCAATAAAGTTTGTCTCATTTTAAATCGTAAATATTGTGAAGGTCTTGACCGGAAGTCCCCTTGCACACGCTCCTGCGCTTGACCGCGGTGCAGGCTGGGAACAGGATGCTGTCAGGCCGAGTGGAATAACGGCGACGAACCGCAGCAGCATCCTTTGTTTTTCCTGGGCACATAAAACAGGTAAGAACCCGTGTGTGCCCCGCGTCACGCCGCCGTACCCACCGCGCGCGCACGGAACCCGCGTTACGCACGGGTTTGACGCGGGGCACGACGCGCTTTTTGGCCCCCGAAGAGCCTCCCGAGCGCGGCTATTGTTCGGTCCAGTGTCACAGCAGCTTAGCCCCGGTGCAGCCCGAGTCGCCGTTGTCGAAAAGCGGGCTGGAATGCGGCCTGGCTCGGGCTGGAGGCGGCGGGCGGCGGCGTGGCGGTGTCCGAGGCCCCGGGAGCGCGTCACATTTTCGGCCTGGTGACACACGGAGTCCCGCTGCTGCTGCTGCTGCTGGTGCTGGAGGTGTTCCGGCGTTGCACTGCACCAATCCCCGCCGGCCTACGGAGCGCATTGTCCGCGTCAGCTGTTGATGCCAGCCCCGGACACATGGGCAAGCCCCGAAATAACCACTCCGCGCTTTTGCATTTTTGCGCATATTTGCCCCCTCAGCCATAAAACACCCGCAAATGATCTACGCCCTTTACGCATCTATTTCCAGAGTTTTTTTTTTTTTTTTTTACGCAGACCGGGGCAACTTAATAAGCAGCTGCTAATCTGTTTTTCATTAAATGGCCCGCTCCCCAATCAGCGCCGAACGTGGACAGCGCCATAATCATGCGGGTTTAAAGGTGTAATGACGCTAAGCGCAGCAGGGGGGCGCTTCGAAAACAAAACAAAATGTCACGAATTAAAAATAGTCCCAGAAGAATGAATGGAGGATGGAGGATTATGTCGTTTCCAAAGATGAGGATGAACCGAAGCCTCGTCGACAAAGAAAATACTAGCATAAAAAAGAGTTTGCGTTTAATTTGTACGTTTTTTTAGTCCGACTCCTGAGCGGTGGGTTGTTGGTTGAATTCCTGCTTGGATTCACAGACTTTGTGCTCTTGAGCCTTTTCTGCTGGACCAGGACTAAACCAAGAGCCAAACCAGGTCAAAATGAGAAGGACTAAACTAAGACTAAATCAGAGACCAACCCAGGGGTTAAACCAGGACTAAACTGGGACTAAACCGGGACTAAACCGGGACTAAACCGGGACTAAACCGGGACTAAACCAAGAGCCAAACCAGGTCAAAATAAGGACTAAACTAAGACTAAATCAGGGACCAAACCAGGGGTTAAACCGGGACTAAACCAGCACTAAACCAGGACTAAACTGGGACTAAACCAGGACTGAACCAGGACTGAACCAGGACTAAACCAGGACTAAACCAGGAACTAAACCAGGACTAAACCATGACTGAACCAGGGGCTAAAATAAGACTAAACCAAAATTAAACTGGGGACCAAACCAGGTCAAAATCAGAACCAGGACTAAACCAGGAATTAAACCAGGGTCCAAACCAGGGTCCAAACCAAAACTAAACCAGAACTAAACCAGGACTAAACCAGGGACTAAACTGGGGCTAAATCAGGAACTAAACCAGGACTAAACCAGGGTCCAAACCAAAACTAAACCAGGACTAAACCAAGAGCCACACCAGGACTAAACCAGGACTGAACCAGGACTAAACCAGGACTGAACCAGGGGGTAAACCAGGACTACATGAGGGACTAAACCAGGACTAAAACAGGTCTAAACCAGGGACCAAACTAAGAGCCAAACCCGGTCAAAATTAGAACCAGGACTAAACCAGGACTAAACTCGTCTGGCTCTGGTGTTTTCTGTAGGGTGGTGGTTGTGTTTGTTTTGATAAAGTTCATTGTCACAGAGCGGCCGCTACGTCTGTGTGAATGTGCCCCAGGGCAGCTGTGGCTCATTTTTAGTGTTTCAAATCTGGACTTTGTATTTTCCGTCTTTTTAAACGGTGATGTTTTGTGTTTTATTTACAGTTGAATATAAAATGTGTTTCTGAAATGTGTGAAACAACATTGTGCTCTCAGAATGTCACACGAGCCTGACGCTCCTCATGCTCCTCACTCATGCTCCTGACCCTCCTCATGCTCCTGACGCTCCTCATGCTCCTCACTCATGCCCCCGACCTCCTCATGCCCCCGACGCTCCTCATGCCCCCGACGCTCCTCATGCTCCCGACACTCCTCATGCTCCTCACTCATGCCCCCGACGCTCCTCATGCCCCCGACGCTCCTCATGCCCCCGACGCTCCTCATGCTCCCGACGCTCCTCATGCTCCTCACTCATGCCCCCGACGCTCCTCATGCTCCTGACGCTCCTCATGCTCCTGACGCTCCTCATGCTCCCGACGCTCCTCATGCTCCTCACTCATGCCCCCGACGCTCCTCATGCTCCTCACTCATGCCCCCGACGCTCCTCATGCTCCTCACTCATGCCCCGACGCTCCTCATGCTCCTCATGCTCATGCCCCCGACGCTCCTCATGCTCCCGACGCTCCTCATGCTCCGATGCTCCTCACTCCTCATGCTCCCGACTCTCCTCATGCTCCTCACTTATGCTCCCGACGCTCCTCATGCTCCCGACGCTCCTCATGCTCCTCACGCTCCTCATGCTCCCGACGCTCCTCATGCTCCTCACTCATGCCCCCGACGCTCCTCATGCTCCTGACGCTCCTCATGCTCCCGACGCTCCTCATGCTCCTCACTCATGCCCCGACGCTCCTCATGCTCCTGACGCTCCTCATGCTCCCGACGCTCCTCATGCTCCTCACTCATGCCCCGACGCTCCTCATGCTCCCGACGCTCCTCATGCTCCTCACTCATGCCCCCGACGCTCCTCATGCTCCTGACGCTCTCATGCTCCCGACTCCTCATGCTCCTCACTCATGCCCCCGACGCTCCTCTCCTGACGCTCCTCATGCTCCGACGCTCCTCATGCTCCCGACGCTCCTCATGCTCCTCACTCATGCCCCCGACGCTCCTCATGCTCCCGACGCTCCTCATGCCCCCGACGCTCCTCATGCTCCTGACGCTCCTCATGCTCCCGACGCTCCTCATGCTCCTCACTCATGCCCCCGACGCTCCTCATGCTCCTGACGCTCCTCATGCTCCCGACGCTCCTCATGCTCCTCATCATGCCCCCGACGCTCCTCATGCTCCTCACTCATGCCCCCGACGCTCCTCATGCTCCTCACTCATGCCCCCGACGCTCCTCATGCTCCCGACGCTCCTCATGCTCCTCCTCACTCACTCATGCCCCGACGCTCCTCATGCTCCCGACGCTCCTCATGCTCCCGACGCTCCTCATGCTCCCGACGCTCCTCATGCTCCTCACTCATGCTCCCGATGCTCCTCATGCTCCTCACTCATGCCCCCGACGCTCCTCATGCTCCCGACGCTCCTCATGCTCCTCACTCATGCCCCCGACGCTCCTCATGCTCCTGACGCTCCTCATGCTCCCGACGCTCCTCATGCTCCTCACTCATGCCCCCGACGCTCCTCATGCTCCTGACGCTCCTCATGCTCCCGACGCTCCTCATGCTCCTCACTCATGCTCCCGACTCTCCTCATGCTCCTCACTCATGCTCTCGACGCTCCTCATGCTCCCGACGCTCCTCATGCTCCTCACTCATGCTCCCGATGCTCCTCATGCTCCTCACTCATGCTCCTGACTTTCCTCATGCTCCCGACGCTCCTCATGCTCCCGACGCTCCTCATGCTCCTCACTCATGCTCCTGACTTTCCTCATGCTCATGACGCTCCTCATGCTCCTCACTCATGCTCCCGATGCTCCTCATGCTCCTCATGCTCCTCACTCACTCTCCTGACGCTCCTCACTCTCCTGATGTTTATGCAGAGTTTAGTATTGATCTGTGGATGTTCAGTCACAACGCAGACACAGACGACAAGGAACAAGGGACACACGAGGAGGAGAGGAAGAGAGGAGAGGAGACAGAGGAGGAGGAGCAGGGGAGAATAGGAGAAGGTGAGAGGAGGAAAGGAGAGGAGGAAGAGGCATAGGAGGAGAGGAGGAGCAGATTAGGAGAGGGTCAGATGGGACAGAGGAGGAGAAACAGACGAAGAGAGGGTGAGAGAAGCAGAGCAGCAGAGGAGGAGAGGGGAGGGTGAGAGGAACAGAGAAGAGAGTGAGAGAAGAGGGTGAGAGGAGGAGTGGATGAGATGGTGAGAGGAGTGGAGGAGTGGAGGAGTGGAGGAGTGAAAGCTGAATCCAGGTCAAGTCAATTTGATTTCACATGGAGCCATAACATGAGTCACACACAGAGACTTACTGACCCAAGATTGAACCAGGACTGAACCAGGACTAAACCAGGACTAAACCAGGACTGGACCAGGACTGGACCAGGACTGGACCAGGACTGAACCAGGACTAAGATAGTTTTGGTTTGAACCTGGTTTAGTCCTGGTTTAAGGTTATTCTTAGGTTAAAAGTCTGTTGATAAAAGTCTGGTTTAGTCCTGATTTAGTCCTTGTTTTAGTCCTGGTTTAGTTCTGGTTTAGTCCTTGGTTTAGATCTGGTTTAGTCCTGGTTTAGTTCTGGTTTAGTCCTGGTTTAGTTCTGGTTTAGACCTGGTTTAGTCCTGGTTTAGTCCTGGTTTAGTCCAGATCGGAGCAGTGAGTCTGAAGTGTTTTTCAGTCGAGTTTTTGTAGTGACGCTGCAGTGGAGCCATAATAACATTACATAATTCTGATGTTTTTACTGTGGTGGCGGTACTAAGCTCCAGAGTACACACATACTGCAGTACTGACTGTGTTATACTCCAGAGTACACACATACTGCAGTACTGACTGTGTTATACTCCAGAGTACACACATACTGCAGTACTGACTGTGTTATACTCCAGAGTGTGTTATACTCCAGAGTACACAGATACTGCAGTACTGAGTCTGATATACTCCAGAGTACACAGATATTACACAGATATTACACAGATATTACACAGATGGTACACAGATAGTACACGGATACTACAGTACTGCGTGTGTTATACTCCAGAGTACACAGATACTGCAGTACTGTGTGTTATACTCCAGAGTACACAGATACTGCAGTACTGCGTGTGGTATACTCCAGAGTACACAGAGAGTACACAGATA